GGGATGGGGGATGGGATGGATTGGGATGGGGGATGGGATGGGGGGATGGGATGGATTGGGATGGCGGATGGGATGGGGGATGGGATGGATTGGGATGGGGGATGGGAAAGGGGATGGGATGGGGGGATGGGATGGGGAAGTCATCTCACCGGCGTACGTAGTCATCTCATGCGCTAATCATACCAGTGTGAAACAATATTCGCACGTACGTAGTAGTATTATCACACGTGGCCGCGCCGTCTCGCAGAACAAACACTCGCGGAGCGTGAAACTCTCGCTCCAGCATCGGACAGCAACACTCCTCCTCCTCCTCCTCCTCCGCTGCTGCTGCGCGGGGAGAGGAAGGAAGGACCCCCTCCCTTAGAGGGATGGGCGTGGTCGCCATGACGACGCGCTCGACCGCTACCCACGACGAGGATGGCGGTGGTAAACTCCCACGATGTGCTGCGGATGCAGGGATGCGGACGGGATGGGAGTTCTGCAGCCTCCCGCGCGTAGTTTCCATGACGACCCGTGTGGGATGAGGATGGGTGGTGTCCCGCAGCGGACCGCACATTTTCTTTGGGCGAACTCCCGCGGGATGAGGATGAAATGTTCCCCAGCCTCCCTCACAGCATCCACGCGCGAACTGCAGTGGGATGAGGACGAGGAGTTCCTCAGCCTCCCGCGCATCTTCGCAGCATCCTCTTCGTGTAATTACCAATCGTTCATCATCGTTTCCCGTGAAACCACGCACTAGAACGCTAGACGGACACCCTGGTAGCGGCGACGCGGGCCGGTAGGGTGGGCGAGGATAGTGGAGAGCCGAGGCGGTGCAGGGTATCAAGCAGCGGACGCGAAACCAGCGGGACTGTAACAGTTNAGAGAGAGAGAGAGAGAGAGAGAGAGAGAGAGAGAGAGAAAGAGGGAGAGAGGAAGAAATAAAGAGAACGAGAGAGCGAGAGAAAGAAAGAGAGAAATTAATTGCATCAATAAAAGCGCTCACGATTGCAACCCGGACAATTACAGTGTCACCCGAGAACCGCCGCGTATTTTGAAACATGAATGAAGAGGCTTTACTTGCGACTCCAACGAAAATCCATCAACTCAGAAAGAGATTTACTAAGTTAAACATATAACAGCTCTCGTCTTGTCTGCGGCCGCGTGTAGCAAGAAGTTG